TGTCATGTGACTAGTCGGCAAGGCAAGCCTGTTGACCTTGCAGTTAGTATGAGAGTTAAGAATTTCATTAAGGAGGAGGAATGATCTGTGACATGTTTTTGTGGGCCAATGTTGCACCAGGTGGAAACATTCATCAGTGCATTGTGCTGAGTATAAGGACAGTGCTTTCTTTCAAATAGCTTTATATGAGTGGATTGAAATGTTTAAATATGTTTAACACTGGTTCGCTCGCGGATTTCTTATTTTCTTCTACCCTGAAAATGCAAGCGATACGCTCCTCCAAAACGTTTGTTAACACAATATTTGCATGGCGCCACATCCCAGAAGACTACTTTCTTCATCTATAAAATAGATTTGCAAAAAAGGAAAAAAGTGGGGAAATTTTTTGAAGGTTCCTCATGGAATATTTGTGGAAAAGACAGAATGAAAGAGTCCACCAGGAAGACTAAGCCATAGGTGAGTGGACAATATTAAAATTGATCTTAGATAGGATGGGGTGGTACGGATTGGATTGATGTGGCTGAGGGTAGGGACCAGTTGAAGACTCTTGTGAACCCAGTAATGAACCTTTGGGTTCCATAAAATATTGGGAAATTCTTGAGTAGCTGACAAGTATTGCCAGGTGACCTTAGAAATCATGAAGAGGTTGAGGTAGTTCTTCAGGTTCTTCAACTTCATTCTCTGTTTCACTGCCATATAATGCATGTAATTTTTCTACCTTGCCTATGCAACACATACATGTATTTCCTGTTTTTCAATCTACATATTTTCTTCGGCTAAAGAATAAAATGTGAGAACACTGGACTGCACTGAACTGCTTAGGATAGAAACATATTGCGTCACTACAAGCAACAACTTAGGGCCTCAACAGAAGGCTCTCCCCAACCCCCTGTTGCGATTGACTGCTGTACTTCTGTGCAAACATTAAGCTTCGTAAGAAAAAGAACGGATTATAATATTATACTTATGTTCTAACATAAATGTATCCTTTAATTGCAGGATGGGAAACCTCTAGACCTGTTGACAAATGAAAGATCTGATCAGGTACACTTTACTCTTCTGGATGGTGGAAGATCTCTCAAGTTAGAGGAAGTCCATTCAGCCGATAGTGGCACATATGCCTGTGTTGCAACAAATCTTGCTGGGTATACTGATGCTGAAATCAAACTTGATGTGCTGTTATCACCTTATTTTGAGGAATTCAGCTACATGCAAGAGAGGACAGTTGTGGCAGGAACTGAAGTCAGATTTCACTGCAATGTGTCAGGAAATCCAAAACCAAGGGTAAGTAAACCAGGCTACTCCTTCAAAAGAACCCATTAGTAGGCATATGTACATGGTTCAGTCTGTGGGCTTGAAGAATTGTGAAGAAGTCTATGGTTAAATTCTACAATAGATCAGAACTATCATAGGCCACTACTGTGTAGCAATGAACAAGAGATTGAAACCAGGGATTTAGTACCCTTCAGTTACAATCTTGTGTTAATGGGTGGAAATTACCAAGAAGTCTGTAGGCTCAATCTGGAATCAGAAGTTTAACCTGCAGTGTTCTTGTCAAGAAGGAAGTTACATATTCACATAAGATCTATCTATCTATCTATCTATCTATCTGTGGCTCTACAGCCCTTTGTTGGACCTTGGCCTCTTTTTCAGTTCCTTAATCTTTTTACACAGCTGGTAGGACTCCTTGGACGGGGGATCAGCCTGTCACAAGGCTGCTACCTACAAGCAGGACAACATAAACACAGAATAACACGCACAGACATCCACACCTCAAGTGGGATTCAAATCCATGATTCCTGTGTTTGAGCGGCCAAAGACTGTTCATGACTTAGATCACGCGACCACTGTGACCAGCACATAAGAAAATACATGCAATTTTTTGTTCCATGTCTTACATTAATAATATTGCTAGTTGGTTAAAAGTTAATTGTCTAAAAAAAAAAAGGAAATATAATCATCTAGAAGGAAGAAAAACTTCACTGTTAGAAACCACCACAGTTCTAACCTGCTGGTGTTCTTGTGGAAAGCAAGAGTGGGGTAAAGTGCAATTAAGTTTCTGGAACAATCTTGAATAGGTTCAGTCTTCTATGGCATCTGTGCATACACTAAATTTTCTTCACAGATTAGGGCTGTAACAGTACAGGACTGTCAGAAAATCTTCCATGTGTGGCTGCCTAGTGATTGAACATCAAGTGATCAGAAGTAGTAACCAGCATTGTTAACTTTCAGAATCAGCCATATAGAATGCCGATATTGCAGACCAGCAGTAAGGTTTTTGTTTCTTGCTGCACCTTCACTTACAGCTGGATTACGTTGTATGTTTACACTTAAAGCAGCGATGATTATCTCCACTGATTCTCATTATCATCACTAATTGAGGACTAGGATTAATTCTATTCTGTTTCCAAAATGTTTTCATATAATCTCTTTCTTGATTTTCCACTTTATTTCTTCCTATAGGATCGGTTTCTGAACATTTTTCTGCCTATGTACTCCTTGGTCTCGTAGTGAGACTTTGTTTACTCCTTTCAGTGACTTATGTTTCATCTCAAACTGTATGTTATTAACTAACTAACTCCATGGAGCCAACTTCTTGAGAAGGTACTAGTGACTCAGCTACTCAAGGTTTTCCCAAAATCTTATGGAACCAGAAGGTTCATTCCCATGTTCACAGAGCCTGCTACAAGTCCCTATCCTGAGCCAGATGAATCCAGTTCATACCACACATCCTATTTCTCTAATATTCAGTTTAATATTATCCTCCCACCTATGTCTAGTTCTTCCTAGTGGTCTCTTTCCTTTTGGCTTTCCCACCAAAACCCTGTATGCATTCTTCTCCCCCATAGGTTCTGCATGGCTTGCCCATCTCATCTTATTATATTTGGTGAAGAGTACAACTTGAGAAGATACTCACTGTTGCAGTTTCCTCCAGCCTCCCATTATTTCATCCTTCTTTGGTCCAAGAATTCTCCTCAGCACCATGTTCTCAGATATTGTGAAAATGACATACAAGATTCAAGGTTCCCATGGTGGTGGTTGTGAAGAGTATTGTCCTGTGGGATGTGACACTGCATAGCACAGTAGAAGTTTACTCACTTTATGAAGACTGTAGTGCCTCTTCCAGTCTGCTTACTTAACTGGTTGCTCTGTTTGCCATGAAGATGGAGGCAGCAGATTGCTCCAGAATTTTGGCAAACATTGCTTTACACCTCAGAACATATTTTAAACATGAGTCGGTTCTCCAGACAACACTACAGTCACTCCAACTTGACAATGTATTCCATTCAGTTGACACTGAAGTGGATGTTCGAGCACATGATGTTGAGCTGTAGGAGATCAAGGAAGAGGGGAAATGATTAACACATTCAGACGACACATTAGAGGAGCATCTGAGTCACCAGCATCAGAATGTGAGGCCATGTTTAGGCCTTACATTCCTTAACCTTTTTCAATTGATCTCATTTGGTTTCAGAGTGAAACTTTCAATACTCATTTATAGTTACAATTTTCATTATAGAGACAATAACATATTGGTACTCTCTTATTTGAAACAAATTTTATTTATTCCACGCACAAGAAGAAAATGTTTTAGGCCTATATTTTACAACATTTTATCTTGTATACTTGTTTATATGGCTGAGGATAGGGACCAGTGGAGGGCTGTTGTGAACACAATAATGAACCTTTTCTTTTTTTTTTTTTTTTTCCTGTGGCGCTACAGCCCCAATTTGGGCCTAGGCCTACCTCCATGAAACTCTCCGTTTCACTTCGGTTTACTAGATCTTACATATACGGTAGGACTCCTTGGGCGAGTGATCAGCTCATCGCAAGGCCTCTACCTATAGACAAACACAGAAAAACGCACACAAACATCCATGCCCTGAGTGGAATTCGAACCCACGATCCCGGCTTCCAAGCGAGCGAAGACAGTGCATGCCTTAGACCGCTCAGCTACCGTGACCGGCAATAATGAACCTTAGGGTTCCATAATATGTTTGGAAGTTCAGGAGTAGCTGCACAACTGGCAGCTTCTCTAGAAAGGTTCAGCTCCAGGAAGTTAGTTATACTCCCTTATAGGGCTTCACTTCTGCTCGGGATATGTGTATTCAGTGGTTCAGAACTTGCGGGATGATATTTCAGTGCCTGCGATGTGATGTGATGTTGCTTCATTCATTCTGTATGTGAGATCCATTGATCATTTAAGTTACACACCTCCATTCTTCTGTGGTATCTTCAGGTCTCTTTTTATCCAAGACGAATGATCTGCAACAGGCTTCAGGAAATTTAACTTGACTGCATCTGATTGTGGTCCCTCTGTATCACTGTTCATATTTTGTGCCCATAAGGTAATACATGTATCCCTTATTTTGTGAACATTCACTTCACTAAATTTGACTACTACATAGCATGTTAATTTGCACATATTTTTTACTCATACTTAACAAACTTAGTTCTTGCCATAACAAACAACTTATTACATGTATAAGAAGTTTTGCAAAGGTGGAGAAATACATATACCCATTCACATGCATCTCCCACCATCTCAATTTGTCCACATTCCTTGTTGGTATCATACAGAATCAGCTGTTTTATCACTAAATATCTGTTATTTGTGCCCATCAAGGCTCCCAAATACATGTAAGTGAAATATCATTACATTGCATCGGCTATGAAAATATAAATGTGAATGAAATAATACAGTTTTATCACCAAAAATGAATATCTAAAATGAGTAATAATATCCTTATTTTAATATTTATTTACTATTAAATCATATGTTAAGAATATTAGGGGAATTTGTGGAACTCATGAATGAATTGGTGACTTTTACATTTAAATTAATTGGAATATTGTTTTCAGTTTACAAATTTTCACCTCACGAACAATTTTCATTTTCATGTTGTATATGGAGTTAGCAGTTAGCTGTCTGAGGATCAAATACATTCCATCTTAACACTGCTGACTGCCAGAGAAGACTTCATTGATTTATTTACCATGAAAACTTATATTTACTCTATATCCTCTTCAGCTATAAATGATATTTGGCATCTAAGACTCTAAACTTTGAAACTTGAAGTCCATTACCAAGTTTGTAATGCCTGTAGGCCCGCTTACTGCCTGGTCCATTCTGATTTCTTACTTGTTTTTTTCTCTGACATTGAAGATGGGGGTGACATTTTCTTCTGAAATGCTAGTTGACTTTCTGCACTGTGTTATATCCCATAAGATATAACTCTTCATAACCACTGCTGTCATCATTTATTGTGCCATGTGTAATGTTATTTCAAAATTGAAATCTATAGTGTTGTGGGTGGGAACATGTTGAATCCATCTTCACTGTTGAAGTATGTAGGTTTTACGAATATGGTTAATTATATAGGTGAATTACAAGGAGTGTGAACATGTGACACAAGGATAGGTGGTATAGAAACTTATGATTCTGTTTTAGTTACTGGAAGAGTACATTATTATGCAGCCGTTTTGTTGTAGTTGTTATGGCGGAAGAACAACCTCCCAGTTACTCCACATACAGCTCCAGGAGTGGTGCTGTCTCCAGACAGGCATTCTCTCACCATTCCCAATGTGAGGCCTCATGATGCCGGTCACTATCAGTGTGCTGCCACCAATAGAGCTGGCCACAATGATCGCGATTTTCGCCTCAGTGTGTTAGGTAAGTTCAGAAAACAGGAGAGTCTGGAACAAACTTCATCACTATTGTTCAGGTTCTTCACCTAATTTTCAGTAATATTAGACGACTAAGGAATTTTACATCTCTCTAAAGAATACAGAATGGCATAATATCACAATAAATCCACTTTTGCGCACATGCATACATGCATGTATGTAGGGGAGGGGGTGCGATGTCAGCAAGACTTCAGTAATGCTATTGCTCACTCACCCTAGGTGAGAAGAAATTCATAATACTGAGTTATTTTCATTTATTGCTCCTAATCATTTTCTTGTAGGATGGAACTGTCTGAACAGAGTTGCACCTGATAATAACTAACTTACCTCCTTGGGGCAGAGTCCCTCTGCAAGAAGCCATTAATCGCTCAGCTATTCAAAAAATATCCTCCCATGTATAATAATAATAATTCAGTTCAATTCAATTCAATTCTTTATTATTTATGTGCTGAGTCAACAGCCCCAAGGCCAATTATAGACAGAGCACAGTGTACATGAAAGTAATTACATTATAGACAAACACATTATAAGTCAAAGACAAATTACAGGCAAGCACAGGGGAAACACAGTAATGTAGAAAAGTAAACAAACAAACAAATAATAATAATAATAATAGCAATAATAAGAATTTCATTAACATAAATCTAAATGTGATTAAGAAGTGAGAAATGAAACATATAATTCAATTCAATTCATGTTTATTTATGTGCAGACTTAACAGTACAGAGGCCAATTACAAAGCTAGCACGAATAGAGAAATACACAAAAATAATTAAAAAAGCAAGATACAAAAATGATAGTCTATGTTAATTACACAGTTAGCATGAATAAAGATGCAGAAGCAAACATACACAGACAAAGCCACAATGTGAGAATTTGAGTTCCAAATAGAGCAGCATACAGTAATAATAATAATAATGAAATTAATAAAAATAATGATAATAATATTAGTTTAATTAGTTCAGTATAAGATATGTTTCATCAACAGAGTTTTTGGTCCAAAGACGTCAACGTCCCTACAGACATTAGCAGCAGAAGGGCATCTAGCAGAGGGGCAATTTTTACTAACAGAACAGACATTGAACATAGGAAAGTCTTGGATATATCGAACAGGGACCCAAGGGCCAACAATTTCCAAAGCAGAAGGGCAAAGTATAGAACCATGATAAACCTTAATAAGGAAGAGCGCATCAAGATGATATCTCCTCTTTTGCAAGGTGTGCAATTTCAGTTGTTCTAAAGCAAAACCATAACAGTAATCTCCTTGAGGAAAAAAACGTTTAAAACAGAGAGCCATACATTTCTGCTGAAGCATATTCAACCTTGGATCTAACTAAAGTATAGTATAATATGAACATGCATCCAAGGGTTGAATAGTTAAAGGTGATACTGCGAATTATACCTAGCATCTTAATACAATGTGAAAATATAAAATTAACATGATCATGAAAATGAAGTTTGGAATCAAAGTACATGCCCAGGTCTTTCGCTGAATATATTCGAGTTATAGTGAAATGAAGAAGTTTGTATTCATATATCAAATAGTTAGTTTTCCTGGAGAATGTTATAACTTTGGTTTTGTTAACGTTGATTTTCATATAGTTCACTGCACACCAGCTATGTATACAGTCAACGTCAGATTGCAGAAGATTACAATCTTCAGGACAGCCAATAGCCCAGTAAATTTTAATGTCATCTGCAAAGAGTAGGTATATGAATATAATTTTTTTTAAATGAAGTGTGATTTCGAATATTTCGAATATAAGCCACACCCCAGTTTTCTTCTTGAATTTTTGGCAAAAAATGTGCGGCCTATACATGCGTAAATATGGTATTCAAATAATTTCGAAAAGTTGTTAAGAATCGAAATAGGTCTGTAGATATTGACTGAGGCACTATTGCCTTTCTTAAAGATAGGAACAACTTCTGCTTGCTTCCATAATGCAGGAAAACACTGTTGGGATAGACAAAGATTGAAAATATGCTTCAGGACAGGTGCAAGTACATCAGAACACCCCTTAATGACATATGCAAGGATGCTATCAAGACCGACAGGTTTGGATGGTTTCAGACTTGCAATGGCTTTAAAAATGTTGGAATCAGAAACAGGTGATAAAGATAGACATCCCAATGATGATCATGAAAGGGAGAGGAACTATTATATATTGACTGAAAGTGATCAGCAAATGCGTTGGCAACTTCATAGTGGTCTACCAAATGAGTACCATCAACTATAAGCTGAATAGAAGTAGACCTTTTTTTCCTAACGGACGCCACGTATTTCCAAAGTTGCTTGGGTTATGTCTTACAGTTCACATTAATAGACTCCAACCATCTAAGTCTGTCGATTTTTATTGTAGCTTTGACTAGTTTATGATAGAAGGAAAAAGTATCGTATAGGCTGGCGGATTTATGCTTCTTGAAGCGCCTGTAAAAGTAGTTATTTTTCCTGATGTAGTATCGTAAAGAACTGGAAAACCAGTGTGGGAATTTAGACTTGGTGATGAAACAGCGGGGGATTGCTTGCTCCATAGCGTCTTGGACAGCCTCACTGAGGCTGGCGGCAGCAGTGTCTACAGAACTGGTGTCATACACACACGACCAATCATAATTTGAGAGAATATTGTATAATAAGGTATAATCACCAGCTATATATTTATGATATGAATACTCACAATTTTGAGTAGGGTTAACAAGAGACAGACTAATGCCAATAACCATAGGAGGGTGATAAGTATTGGGCTTTATTATTCCTGAGTCAAGAAAGGTAATATTATAGTCATTAAAGTTTGTGAAAACCAAATGAAGCAAATTGCTGCTGCCAACAGAATGGATGCACTGCTGCAGGTTAAGTAGACATATAGAGGTGTAGATCGCATCACCTCTGAGTTTAGAGTAATAATGGCAGTCAGGAATGGACAGACCATGGTTCCAGTCAAAACCAGGAGTGTTGAAATCCCCCACCATGACAACTCGAAAGTTTTTGGTATCCAGCCTATCTTCTAAAGAGCGAAAATAATTGGCAGTGACTTCAGGTTTGGTATCAGGAGGAAAATTATGGTTTCCAATGAGCAAATTTTGATTGTCCAGAGTGGGAATTTCAACACAAACACATCCATTATAGGATTCTAAATCATACCTACATTTAAAAGAGCGAATTCTGGAAGAGAGGGCAGTAAGAACTCCACTGCCACGACTCTTATTGGCAGACACCCGATAGGAGCATAGAACCGTGTAACTGTCAGGAAATAGATTATGATCTAAACACAATTCATTTAGCCACGTCTCAGTCAATAATAATAATAATAATAATAATATGCAGTTCCGTCAGGAGCCCAAGCCATCTACAACCTTTTCCCGTTTATCCTGATCTACTGCTAAATACTTCAGCTCACTCCAACTTCTTCCAGCTTCTCTCAGAGAGTATCTCCTCCTGCTGTTTCTGGGTCTCCCCCTTCATCTGTTTCCTTCAGGATTCCCCTGAAGTGCAACCTTTGATGGCTGTTCATCATCCTTCCTCAGCGTGAGGCCAATCCATCTAAATTTTCGTTTCCTTATCTCCATATTTATATCTGTTTGGCCAGATAACTGCCAGAGCTCTCTATTTGAAATGGTTGTAGGCCACCATATTCTTAATATATATCTCAGACATCTGTTAATAAACGTTTGAATTTTCCTTCTTCATTCATTTGTAATTAACAATGTCTCACAGCCATATAAAAGCACAAATTTAACACAGGTGTTGAAAACTGTTATCTTTGTATCTCTATCCATAAGGGTGGACTGCCCCTCCCTTATATTAAAACCAGTAAACTGCATAATGAAAAGTGTCACAGCTTGTACTATCCACCAAGGATAATTAGAATGATCTAGTCCAGGAGGATGAGATGGGCAGGGCATGTAGCTTGAATGAGGGTGGAGAAGAATGCATATAGGAAAGTGGTGGGAAAGCCAGAAGGAAAGAGACCACTAAAATGACCGAAATGTAGATGGACAGATAGTATTAAAATGGATCTTAGAGAGATAGGTTGAGGTGGTATGGACTGGATTGATCTGGCTAAGGGCAGGGACTAGTGGAGGGCTCTTGTGAACACAGTAATGAACCTTCAGGTTCCATAAAATGTTGGGAAGTTCTTGTGTAGCTGTACAACAGGCTGCTTCTCAAAGAGGGCTCAGCTCCATGAAGTTGGTTATATGGAACACAAATATTGCCATGAGTCAGAGCAATCCAGTCCAGAGCCCTGTGTAACATTTTGGAACAGGCTCTTTGTTTATGATGACATGTTAGCTCCCACCTAACCCCCAAGCTGGATGACCTCTCCTTTTCATCTATCCGTGACTGCTTATTCAGTATATTCACAACTTCATATCTGGTGCTGGGATGGCTTGATTGGTTTAGCAGTGGGCTAACAGGTGAATGGCTGGGGTTAAATTTCTGACAGGGCAAGAGATTTTTCCCTACTCCACAGCATGCAGACCAACTCAGAGGCCACCCAGCCTCCTATACAATAGGTAGTTGTGACTCTTTTCCTTTAGGGTGTAAGTCAGCCAGAGCATGAAGCTGACCACTAATCTCAATCTAGTTTTCAAATATTACAGTGCTTATTCTATACTGTCATATAATTTCTGTTAATAACATTTTATTGTACAAAAATTTGTTTGATGAAAATATGTTCCATTATTCCATATCTGAAATTGTTAACATTGACCCTGATGATGGAGACAGAGCAGGTCCCCGAAACTTTGTGTTTAAGTCTTCTGTGGCATGCCTGATTGCTTGATGACCGTATTTACTCTGATCCATGATTTTCGTTCAAGTCACCTTTTAGCCAAAGAAAATGCAAAGTGTGTGTAACTGATATGTGTATGGTATTCTTATTTATTTCAGTACCTCCAGATTTAGATGGTCCCATTGAAGAAATGCAGGAAGCTGTGAAAGGCGAACCTGTTTTATTGCAATGTCCGATCACTGGATTACCTAATCCACAAATCAGGTGGACAAAAGATGGATTTGACTTGAATTTTAAGTAAGTTAAAAATTATAAATTTATGTGTCTTTGTGTGTCAGAATCAGAATAAGGAAATAAGAAATGCAGGTATATGTTCGCTTGTGTCAAAGCTACTGAAGTCTGTGGATTTTGATCACAGCCAAAGTTTGAATATTATATTAATATATTTGTATGCTTCATTATCACATGCTTTCTCTATAATATCCAGGAAAAACTAAATGAAGATGCAGAGTAGAGTCTTTTGTGTTGTGATGCTGTATAGTTCAGATCCAACACAAATGAAGATGAAACCACCAGGGCAAGGAAGCCATCTTTCTTGCTACATTAAAATACTCTATAATGATTTTCTGCAGATGTTGACACTTCAATTATTAAAACAGAAACCAGTAAATATGTGTGTATGAGAGTTTAGACTATGACAGTGATGTCTCAAAGGATTATTTTCTCTTGCTTTGTGATTAAAAGAAATAATGGGTCCATATATGATAAAAATTATTTATTTTTCGAATTTTGAGTCATGTGTGAGAAATGGTATCTTATTGTGGGGTGGGGATGGGGTAAGTAAAAGCATTTTTAAATTGCAAAAGTGGGTTCTTCAAGTGATTAGTGGTATAAGTAGTGGCACATCATGTAGACAAATTTTTAAAGATTACAATGTTTTAACATTGCCTTCTCTGTATATATTGGAGGTGACATGCTTTATCAAAAAATACAAGGCTTTTATGGCAATAAATTGAGACATTCATAATTATAACACGAGGAAAATTAAATTTTCATGTGCAGCACTGTAATACAGCTCTTTTTAAGAGGAGTGTGATAAATATGGGAATTAGTTTGTATAATAAGGTCCCCAATCAAATAAAACAAAGGGAAAATTTTAACTCATTTAAAAAGGAATTAAAATCTTTTTTGCTGAAACATTCATTTTATTCTGTAGATGAACTTATGTCTTTTGATTCATCAAGTGTGTAAATGTAATATGTAGCTGATTAATTTGTTGTATTTGTGTAAAGACAATGAAATTAATGGTAACTAGATCTAGATAATATTATTCAGATGACAAACCCCTTATATTAGGGTGGTACAGTGTATACTGTAAAGATATGCATGAGAATTAGATGTAAAACTGACAGTTTCCCTAATCAAATGGTTGTAATACCTATATGTATGGATTGTTGAATGATAATAGAATGAATGAATGAATTTTCTCTTGCTTTGTGATGAAATTCAGTCTGGTGGAGAGGTACAAACATTTGTCTTCTGTACTGGAGATGGAGGCAGTAGGTTTCTCTGAAATAGTAATAATAACCTCCCAGGTTGCATGCCATCGGTTTCCAGCAGTCATTTTAAACTATTTAAGTTAAATAAAAATAGAATACAATAAATAAATAAGATAAAAACTATCTTATAATCATGCAATCTGTACTTCAATACTATCTGTTGAATTAATCCAAACATCAACAGATTTTGGTATTAACACATGCTGCAGTCGCTGTGTTTCTGCAGTCCTTCAGAAAAAATTTCTTCTTTTACATGAATAGTAACAATTACAAATTATTGTTGTTGTTGTTGTTGTTATCATGTGTGCACTACAGTTCACGATGAATTTTGGCCTCTTTTATGGTTCCATTCCATATGCCTCCAGTCATTAAAAGCTTCTCTATAGTTAAGGTTTTTTTTACAGTTTGGGGCTTCCGACCCTAAGCTTAACCCTCAACCTGGAGGACCAGGTTATCCTTGTTTGTCTGGATCATCACCTTTGACCTGTCCAGCATGGAAATCCCTACCAGTAACTGTGCTACCACCAACATAGCTCTCAAGGCCATGCCATAGCTCAAGTGGTTAGTTGCTGGCTTCCCACCACGGTGGCCCGGGTTCGATCCCAGGTCCAGTCAAGTGGGATTTGTGGTGGTCAAATTGGTGCTGGGGCAGGTTATTTCTGAGTACTTCAGTTTCCACTGCTAATATTTATTCCACTGATTGCTCCACAATCACCCTCACTATCATCTGGAGCTGGTACAATAGGCCAGAAATGGCCACAGTACAAGGGACTTGGTTCCACCCCACTAGCAATAAAAGAAAAACTTAGCTCTCTCAAATTCAGGTCCTAAAGAAAAAAGGATGTGGTATCATATAACTTCATATTTTACAACCATGGCACTACATGTATTGTGACAGTTCATTGTGATAAAGCTTGTACATATTAGCATACTGAATATGTGAGAAAACATTTCAGTTTGAGACAAAGCTGGAACAAAAATTTGAAAATACGAGTATTTTGAGATTTTATATGAAAATGAGAACATTCCCTTCTGGATGATTGTTTTTTCAGCTTAATCACAATTCATAATTCTAGCCAATTTGTACAAATCATTTTATTGTCACATGTTGGTGGAGTTTATGCATGACTTATAAGATGGGTTTTAGATTGAATGATTGGATTTGTTGCACCTTATACATTCATAACTCAGGACTACAGGTAATGCAGTGCTATCGCTAATGTACAAACTTTATGGTTAACCATTACATATGCACTAGGATTCTCATTCTTCACTAATCGTAACCTGGAAATGGATTTTAACCATCTCATTGTAACTTCAAATGACACTTGAAGTCATCTTTGCATAGTCTAATTCATTTCTTGCCATTTCTTCTTAGTCTCCTTCGATTGCCATCTCCAGAACTCAGCTGATTTCTCAACATCATCATCATCATCAGTAATCTGTCAGACGACAGGTCCACAGTCTCTTCCAAAACAATTCCTCCACTTAATGCAATCTAGAGCTTTCTCCTTCAAATGACAGTATCCTTTTCTGTCCCCAAGGTCATCCAGCATCTTATTACGTCTTCTTCCTCGTCTTCTTGTCACTTCTATCCGCCCCTCTATCTTTCCTTCAATAACTTCTTTCAGAAGGCAGTTTCCGCGTAAAATATGACCACTCCAATTAGCCTTCCGTTTTCTTATTTCGTGTAGGATATTCCTCTGCTCACTGACTCTAATTAACACTTCTTCATTTCTCACATAATCGGTCCAACTGATCTTCTCCATCCTTCTCCAACACCACATTTCAAAACTTTCCAGATGTTTCTGATCTACTGCTCTAAGTGTCCATGTTTCAGCCCCATACAGAGCTATGCTCCAAATGTAGCATTTCACTAGTTTCTTCCTCAAATTTAAGTCCAATTTGCTGGTAAAAAGATTCTTCTTCTTGCTAAATGCAGCTTTTGCCATGGCAATCCTGGATTTAATTTCACTAGTACACCTTCCATCATCTGTTAACAAGCTACCCAAATATTTAAAACATTTCACATTCTCCAGTTGTTTTTGGTCTATCTTTATTGTGACTGGGGTTGGTTGTCTCGAAATTTTCATTACTTTTGTTTTTCCACATTCATTTTCATGCCATAGCACCTTCAAATTTCAATTAGTCTGTGGGAACATCTCACATTATCACGCATTTCTGCAATGCTCGCTCTTCACATCACTTTTCACCATCACGCGCGCTAACCAATCAGATTGCTTCAAACGTTCGCATTTATACTGCGCTGGCTGCTAACCCACATCTACACCATTACGCGCACTAGCCAATCAATTCTTCCTCCTCAATTTCAAGTTTCGCTCCACCCACCGAGCAGTGTATAAAAAGGGGCAGCTCCAATGCCGAGTCACGCAGTTGATCATCAGTCTACGAGCTAGCCACACCAAGCAACATCAGCCAGCAGGCTTCGTCGCCAGCGCTCGGTCTACGGATGCATCGGCGCTTCGCTGCGCCAGGCATGACTGCCACGGCTGTCTGCCAGTCGCACCCGACTCACTGGGCAACTAGGCCGCACGGACTCGCCAGTAGTCATACCCAACACACTGGGCAACTAGGCCGCACGGACTCGCCGGTAGTCATACCCAACACACTGGGCAACTGGCGTAGCTACCGCCTCTCCGCTCCAGCGACCGCGCTCAATGACTAGCCTTTCACCAGCAGCCGCCACGCTGCGATCAAGCAACCTCAAACTCACCTGCTGCACGGCAACCAAGCAACCTCCAGCCACGGCCGCACTGCGGCCAGTCCACTCACCGCAACTAGCCTCTCTCCCTACCGGCACACGCCGCTCTACCTCACCGGTCAAGCATCTCAGCAACCACGGTCCTTTTCAGGACCAACAAACTGTTCCGAAGAAGTGGGTTGTCATCGGAGTAATGACAAAACTACATTAAGAGCCCCACAAGTCTATCAATCATGCCCTGTAGCACAGATTCTTCCTTAGCCATTAACACAAGGTCATCTGCATATTTCACAGTTTGAATAATTTGCCCTCCTAATTTGAAGTCTTCAAGCCCATCCAGAGCTTCCTTGGTAAGGCATTCGCTGTGCAAGTTGAGCAGAATTGGTGATAAACAGCATCCTTGTCGAACTCCTCTTCCAATCTGCACACTTCTTGTCTCCCCTCTGTCCAGTCATACTCTAACTTTCTGATCCATATACAATTTGCTAATCAATCTTCCTTCACGCCAATCGATACATGTTTCCTTTAGGATCTGCATTAATTTGGTCAAGTTTACACGGTCAAATGCCTTCTGCCAGTCTATGAAGCAAACACACAGTTCTTCATCTATCTCCAAAGTTCGTTCTGCTATAATTCTCATCATCCCATTTGCATCCCTGGTTCCTTTTCCTCTTCTCAACAACTAACTCAAATAAACTTCTTTGTCCCTTTATAACCCCTCAGCATGGACCATGCAGAAAACAGCCTCTATTTTTGAGAAGGCTTGTTTCTGATCCATTGCCTAGCAATGGACGTCCTATTATGGCACATGTACACTTGCGTGGTAATGTGTTTACTGAGTCGTTGCCTAGCAATGGGTCTGTATGTTACGGTATTTAAAAGAAATGAATTCTAAACCCATGTATCTTTTCATGATGGACATAAAGAAGGAAAGAAAGTGAGAGAGTCAGTTGATTCATGTTATCATTGCCAAGCATGAGAATTCTGATGTATCAGACTGTTTATGTGCTGCTTAATGAAGCAGAACCAATTTTCCAAAAATCCTTGAAGTTCAAAACTATAAAAAAAATATCTTTTTGATGGCTACTAAGATTTTTCTTGATTCGATCTCAAAAGCTCAACAGATACCTTCATTAAATTATATGTGGTTGCCCAAAGTCAGGTCAGTGAAAGAATGAACACAGACTCTCCCCCATCCTCTCTGTCTAGCAGCTGCCTTTCCTCTCTGTGCCTTCCCCAACTTCAACTGTCACAAGTAATATGGCTATTGTGCCACCTGTCTTTACATTCCTGGTTTATTATTTATGTTGGTGGAGGGGATATTCAATGTAAGCAGTGTGGGAGAACAGATGACCATCTTATCACACCATGTGTTCATTATTTCTGTGTTCCAGGTTTAGTGAGAAAACAGTGGGAGATATTAATGACATTATGCATTTAAATGTGTGGTCTCCTTTCAGTCATATAACAACACAGCAGATAGGATAAAAGGATTTATTTTATTATAGATTAACAAGAAATGTATATGTTACAGTACAGCAACCAACATTATCCTGTCAAAAGATCAAAGAATTCTTGAGATTTCAAAAGTGCAACCACGTGATGGAGGAATATACATCTGCACAGGTTCAAATGAAGCAGCATCGAAGGCAAAACGTTTTAACCTGACTGTATTTGGTAAGTAAGCACTAGTAATCATAACATGCATATAATGAATGTATTTAATATAATGTGATCAGCTGCAGATTCCAAATTAATTTGCTCTACTTTGGTTTATAAGTTCTTTGAGTGGAATCATGTCAAGTGACTGGAAGTTCCAAGAACACAATATTCATAACTAACATCCCTCTCTTAGAAAATTACCATCTTAATGGAAGTCCTCTCTTTACTCTTCCATAACTGACTGACTGGCTGACTTCATGGAACTGAGTCCTTCTTGGAAAGCCTCCATCACTGAGCTACTCAAGAATTCCCAACATTATGTGGAACCTAAAAGTTCTTCACCATGTTCACAAAAGCCCTCCACTGGTCCCCATGCTGAATCACATGAATCCAGTCCATACCACCCCATCCTATTTCTGTGATCCATTTTAATATTATCATCCCACATACATCTAAGTTTGCCTAGTGGTTTCTTTCTTTATGTACTCTACCATGAGCTATTAAAATCCATTAAATTAAAAAAAAAGTAAATGTATCCCTGTAACAGGACGTGGAGGCCCATAGGGTTGTGAGATCTTGAGGTTCCCACATTTTCTAGACAATTGGCTCATAGGTAAAGTGGTTCACAACCAATTGGCAAATGTTTCGCTGATAATAAAGATGTTGAAACAAAGGTGCAGAAGTGGCTGAGACAACAGTCAAAAGATTTCTATGTTGTGGGTTTTGACGCACTGGCAAAGTGATGGGACAAATGTTGGTGGAGGATATGTTAAAGAATAAATGTTTTATTTTTGCAGGTTTGAATGTCATATTTTGTGTTTTATATCCATTTGTGACCTATTTACTGACTCATCTTCATATCAGGTTTACTAAAACAAGTTAGAAAATACAAGCATGCTGTTTATGCCAAGTAGTCTTGCAGAACTACTTCTGTCTGTTAGAGGAATGCACTCTTTCCATCTTCAGTGTTGAAGAGTAGGCCAAGCAAGCAAACAGTAATATGCTTGTTTGGCTTTTCCAAATCCTGAAGATGGAGGCAGTACATTCTTCAAAAATGGCAGTGACCTACTGGCCTCCACAGCATTGCAGCCCAGAAGATAGTACTGTTCAAGCAACTGTTACAAAATCATCAAATCCAACAACATTAAATATGTTATTCTGTATGGGTATTTTAATCTTGAATTTTGTATGTAGCACATCTGCTGAAAAACAGAACCGTTATTACTTCATACACAGATTCTGATCGTGTTTACAGAACCTCCTGTTATTCATCAGCAACAGTTCATTGAAGATCTGAAAGTGAGAGTGGGTGGTGGTGTTTCTTTTGTATGTACAACCAGAGGAAACCCCAAGCCAGATATAAAGTGGCTGCACAATGGCCGCATTATAGAGAAAGGAATAAATTACATGATCAGCAACTCTATCAGTGATAGAAGCTCAGTACAGGAACACACAGTTTCTTTACAGCAAGTCAAAATTACAGATGCTGGGAAGTACACTTGTCTGGCTTCTAATGTAGCTGGAGTTGCAGAGAAAAATTACCGCTTGAAGGTGATAGGTAAGTAACATTGTGCTGAACATGTCATGCAGTGATTATTACTTAACTAATGAACCAGCTGTCCCTTTCCTCAGTCCTTTCAAGCAAATGCCAGAATGGTAAGAAGGAGGTCTGAAAAGTATGATAATGCAGTTATTTGTGTTAGTGACTAGAAATGGGGTTTGGATTGATAATCAGATATATCGAACTCTTATAACTACAGATGTCTATAACATCCTTCCTGCCACTCTATAGATCACTATAACTACAGCACTTATAAAGGCTATTGTTTGTTCTCTGGTCATTGCTAGGTAGTGGCTGCTAACAGTGCATCTTAAGACTGCTAACCTCCAACTGACTGTCAACTCCTTGACTTCTCCTCTTAGTTTTCGTTATATAACCTCGGCACAGAATCACTGCACTGTTGCATAGCAATGAGCACATCTGTTCGTTCCGTAATTCTGGCATTCAGCTGTCATGTCACAGTACCATTATGATACTACATGATAATCAAAGCACATATATTTGTACTATTTTTTCAGTAGAATCAGCTTGCCTCTTAGGAAATTATTCCCAGTGAGATGCAGTAGGAGTCTGGGCTTAACCTCAGTAGCAGCTCTGTTTGGGCCATTAAAACAGCACCTTTCTGGCAGGCACTTCAACCCAGGTACAGAGGTTTAACTTGAAGGGTGTTGCCTGTCAGGGTTTGCTACAAATACAGTAAATGGATAATGGTGTCCAATAATGGGGCATATGCCTAAATAGGCAAGATGATTGTTTTGAAAAATAACATAAGCATGTGCCTAGAATAGTGTAGGAGTCGGTATAATGATAGGCTGTATTTGATTCCTGGCAGTGCAAGATTCATCTCTTCTCCACAGTGTCCAGATGGTCTGTGGGGCCCACCCAGTCTCCTATCTGATGAATATCAGTGGTCTTTCCTTGGGCGGGTAAAGTGACACAGGCGTGAAGCTGACCACTCACCTCCATCTAGTCTGTGGTCAAGAAAAATGGATTTGAGGCTTTCACGGCGGTGACTATGAAGAAAGCAGTCTTCTGGGATTTGGCACCATGTACATGTGTTAACCGACGTTTCGGAGGAACGTATCGCCTCCATCTTCAGGGTAGAAGGAAAAATACAAGAAATCCACAGCCGAAGAGACCGTGAGAACCAGTAAAAGCCTGTGGACTTCTTATATTTTTCCTTCTACCCTGAAGATGGAGGCGATACGTTCCTCCGAAACGTCAGTTAACACCACATATACACGGTGCCAAATCCCAGAAGACTGCTTTCTTCAAGAAAAATGGAGCTATACCTCCACTCCCCCATATGTCTTCATGGCATAATGTTTAACTAATTAAGCACAAGGACAACTTTACCTTGCCTAGATTAGTATATAATGTCATAACAGTATAAGTCTTCTCTAACAAATTATGTTTTTTCCTTTTCAGGGATCTCTTGTAGCTTAAATTAGATCAGTATTATTTCCTCTTTTATTTCTTCAAATCCAGTTATAGATATTTAGTCCACCGCATCTTATTGCCTTCAGAGAAGTGACATCACTTGATCTGGTAGATCGTTACTGGCCTTTTGGAGGAGCATATTTACATGAGTGATGAAACCTGTCAAAACATTATAAATTGCACTGTGTCACATAGTAATCATTATATTCACTACTGTGAGAAACTCATTCTCACACTTCTTGGTCAATGCCGTATACCATTAACAGTTGATATGAGTTTCAGAAAGTAACAATAAATACAAGTTAATATCACAAAACTGATGAAAGAAAGTAGTTGAATTCAATGATTTCTAGACCTGGTAAAGAATTTTGAAGAATATTATAATATTTATTGATATGTGCAGCAGTTATGGAGCCAGGATAGTGCAGTCAGTACAGCAACTGGCAAAGGTCTGAATGATTGATGTGTTGGAGTTCGAGTCCCAGCAGGAGAAAGAAATTTCTTTTCTCCATGTTGTCCAGGCTGGCTCTGGGGCCCACGCAGCCTCCTGTCCAATGGGTACCAGGGTCACTTTTTCCAAGGGTAAAGCGGCCGGGTCATGAAGCTTATCACTCACCTCCAATTACTGCTAAGGTCAATACCTGGATCTATACATCCGTTCCCCCATACGTCTTCATGGCATAGTGCTTAATTAGTTAAGCACAGGGACAGCTTTAATATTTTAATTTTTTCATTTAATGTGCAACAGTTTTATTCCCACCACCCTTGATCATTTGAACTCTTACAGTCAGTTCTCTGTCTAATCATTACTTAATCACAATTCTTACCGTCCCCCCCAGCAAAGCCTCAAGCCACACCGGTTGGTCGCTACTCTTTACCTTTCTTCCTTCCTCTTGTCGTTCTTGCCACTGCCATCATTGGTTGTGGAGCTTGCAACTAGGTCGGCTTTACCTGGCTCCACCGCTTCTCCAACTCGACCACTTCTCTTCACTATGGAAAGGGGTATCAGGTCCGGGACTTGGCCTGGATGTTCTGTGGGCACCAGCAACTGTGGATACAGCTGCGAAGTGAAGGGAAAAGGTGGACGGGGTGGAAGCTGATGGTGATCGGGCTAGTCGTGGTTGGCGTGAGACTCTGGCTCAGGTCGTTTAGGGCCTTACTCCGACGAGGAGAAAAGAACACACTGGACACACAACACTTGGCACCACTTAACTTTATTGATTTTTAATCTGAGCGCCACTGAGATACATCTCAGTGCGTTACTTTACTATGATCTCCACCCGTTGTTCGAACACTACTTTCACTTAACAGACGATGGAGAGGGCTAGCTCTGCATCCGGCGAGTTTAACTGTTCTTGCGAGACTTCTTAAAAGAACTCTCTGTTTTTGCAGATTCAGAGATACTCCCAAAATTTGAGGAACGCCTCGTTGCCATCCTCCAAATCTCCGGGTTGGCTGGATTTAGAGGGGGAGGGGTTCGATAGAGTTTCTCATTCCTCCAATGGTCAGCTGTTTCGCGGCGAAAGTTGTGGTTCACACGCTTTCACAGTTTTTCTGACCCGGGGTGGATTGAGAGGGTTCAATCTAACGGTCTCCTAAGGGTAGGTCCGTGATGAATCAGGTGTTGAAAATTGGTCCCTTTCCTCTACTAATGAAACAATTCGCCGCTCCTTTCTAAAAGCAGGTTTTAACATTTGGAGAGTTATGACCGGTTAGAGGGCCATCTCTCTACGTGACTAAAGTTCTTTCCAACGTCTTTTGGACAGATTTCTCTTTGAATAGAACATATGGCTCTTTCTAAAAGTAGGGAGAGTGTTGGGCTGGTTTGGGTTTAGTCCGGGGATTATGACCTGTCATAAACTTTACCATCTCGGAACTGCGAAAGGGTTCAGGTCCCTCTGGTTGGAGTGGGGTGTGAGGTATTGCCTCTGCTTTGATGTAGTGACAAGTACAGACACACGTGAACAAAACATTGTAGTCCTTTGCATTTATGGTTACACAATGAAATGGCTCACTGCATGTATTCTCCTCCTCTTTTCCTCTCCCATCTTAACACTGAACTGATAAGAAGACTGGCTTACTTCTCTAATACTAAGTGACTTATGAACAGACTGCACTTTCACACTGAACACTGACTAATCCCATCTCACTGCTTCACTTCTGTTTCTCCAAGGCTCACTCAACCAGATTCTGCACTGCACTGCACTGAACTGATAAGAAAACTGACTTATTTCTCTAATACTAAGTGACTTATGAACAGACTGCACTTTCGCACTGAACACTGACTGATACACGTCTCACTGCTTCATTTCTGTTTCTCCAAGGCTCTCACTCAACCAAATTCTGCACTGCACTGCACTGCACTGAACTGAACTTGATTCATGCAAGAGCTTTACAGCTTTATAGGCATGACACTGCAAAAGGTTTTCATGAGTGGTCAAGTGACTGTAGCCTTCATCATTGCCTGTGCAGTATCTTGAACAGTTTGGAAGCAGGGAAGTCTCAGTATTTTGATCAAACAAGAGGCATGCTGTAGGCCAGATGGTGTGAACTACCACCTCTCTGTGCTCAGCTGCTGTTGATAGTATCACAGTATTTCTTATCCATGGTCAAATATGAGTGAATCCAGTTATCCATTTACCATATTGATCTTAAACCTGAAACATGAGTTTGTATTCATTTATTTTTTCCCATGCATGCTAATTGAACAGCTTACATTAATTCCACTTATTAATTATTTTGACTAGCAGCTGAAGACTGGTAATAAACCTCTGGGTTCCTTAACAGGACAGAAATTTCTTTACTATCTGTACCTCTTAGCTTTCCATTGAAGGCTCTGTTTGTGGGGTTGTTTTATAGTTGTATGACAGGGTGGGACGCAGAAACTTCCCTTTTGTGAAGACGTATTGTGAAGGGAGGGGAGGTCGCAGAAAAGTGGGGATAGGCTCAGCAAACGCAGCAGTCACGGAAGTTTCTGTTTAATACCCCTCAGTAGGATACATGAGGTGGACGAGTGAGCAGCGTGCGTTTGCTGTCGAAGCCTGTTTTTCGAACAACCATTACTACGTGGCGGTGCAGCATGCGTTTCGTACTCACTTCGGAATTAAGCCCAGAGGTCCAGTTCCTGACCTGTAATCGATTGTTTTGTGGGTAGAGAACTTTAGGAAAACTGGGAGTGTGGTTAAAAAATCATCAGGACGATAATGGACTGTTACAACGCCAGAAAATGTGGAGGCAGTTCAACAGTCGATTTTGAGATCTCCAAGACTCTACGCTCGCAAACATGCAGTTGCCTTAGACATATCCAATCGTTCAATGTGCCAAATTCTTCACGAACATCTTCATTTCCATTCCTATAAGATGGTTGTTGTGCAAGAACTGTCACCACATGATTTCCAGAACCGAATAATGGCGTGTGAAACGTTATTGGAAACTTTACCCCCGGACGCACTTGTTCTCTTTATTGATGAGGCACATTTTCACCTATCTGGGTATGTCAACAAGCAGAATATGTCCTATTGGAGTGGTAGCAATCCCAGAGAGCTCCATGAGAGGCCACTTCACAGTGATAAGGTGACAGTATGGTGTACGTTGTCGAGAGTTGGAGTTGTTGGCCCTTATTTTTTTGAAGAAGACCATCATGCAGTTATTGTCAATTCACAGCAGTATGTGGACATGATTAAGAACTTTTTTGAACCAGCTCTTGAAGAAATGCATCTGGGAAATGTCTGGTTCCAATAGGATGGCGCCACAGCCCACACAGCCCAAGCTTCGATGACAGTTTTGAGGGCATAGTTCCCCGGATGGCTCATCTCGCTTTGAGGTGACATCCCGTGGGCAGCACAATCACCTGATCTATCACCCTGTGATTTCTTTTTTATGGGGATACCTCAAGGCAGAGGTTTTTAAACATGGCCCCACAAACCTGCTTCAGCTGAAGAATGTTATTCGGGAGGAAGTAGCACAAATTCCAGTGCACATGTTGGAACATGCAGAGGGGAACTTCAGAAAACAGTTGCATCAGTGCATAGAGAACAGTGGCCATCACCTTCAAGATATTTTGTTTAAAACTACATGATTTAAAACTTTAAAGTATGTTCTTTCATTAGGTAAACATAAATTATGTCTATCAGCAATAATTTTTCTTTTATTCTCCTTCAAAAAAAGGAAATTTCTGCACCCCAACCTGTATGAAACATGACAGTGTTCTCACTTAATGCATTAGTGTCATAATCATGAAAAAGTGAAGGATTTCATGCTGTTGTAATCCTCCTGATAATCTTTCCTGCAAGCACACACTAGTTAGAAATTAGGCAATATTGATGGTAAAACAGCTCTGCATAAACATACATGAATTAGCAAATCTGTACTTGTATGGGATGTATAGTAAGATGAACTTCTGTATAGCTGAAGAATGTAGCTACAAGTAATTTGTACCGGTACACTATTGTACAGTAGTTTAACAACCAAAGTAACTAATATTATGATTTAGGGGTGTGATGTGTGATGGGATATGGATTGGATATTGGATTTATTGACGCCACTCAGAACTATAATTAATTATAGCACTATTGCTAATCGACACACTTTACAGTTTACCGTTACACATGCGCTAGGGTTCTCAGTCTTCACTAGCCATATCCTGGCAACAGATTTATAACCATCTCACTGTAAACAATATTATATTTCAGCATCCTGTTACACTCACACAATATATATGGACAAATACTGTCTTAAGTGCAACAATTTTATTGTAGTGGAGGAGGAAAAAGAAGTAAAAACTACAATAAAATTGTTGCACTTAAGACGGTATTTGTCCATATATATCTCACTGTAACTTCAAATCACACATGAAGTCCTCTTTGCACCACCTAATCCCTTTCTTGTCATTTCTTCTCAATTACCGTTGACTACCATCTGCAGAACTCAACCCAATTCTTGACAACAACTAACTGCTCCCTTGGAACCTCTCACTATATAGCCTTGGAGTGGACCCCATGGAAAACACTGTCTTCTGTTGTCCCATATTATTTTATGCATATTTACTGATCCATTTCCTAACAATAGATGTCCTACTGTTATGCACATTGGCTCCTGCAGGAATGGGTTTACCCACCCATTGCCTAGCAATGGGTCTATATGTCACAATCATTTATTATCTAATATGCTCCAAATTCAATGATTTTGTAAGTCCTTGGAATTTGCACTGATAATTAACAGTTTAGTGCTATTAGGTCAGTGTTGCCAGAAGATGTTCAGCTGTATTAAAACATTAACATCAGTAAGCATGTTCAGTAATTACTTCACTTAGGTTTATCTGACTCAGGAGGGTAATTTCTTTTTTCAGTAAGGTGGAAGCTCATACATAAATCATGGTTCTTCTGTGTTTAGTATCACATAACTTTGTATGTTGATTGTACTTTGTGTTTGCTTGTGATGGTTTGTAGTCTATGTACCATAAAGTTTATTTCACTGAACACTACGAACTAAGTAATCAATTCCGTGGAGCAGTGACCTTTCAGAGCTATGTTCACAAAAGCTGGCCACTCAATCCTAGCCTATCCTCAGGCAGAGAAATGAAGTCCACATGTTCCTACACTGTTTCTTCAAAACTATTTTTAATGTAACCCCCCCCCCATCTTTGCATAGGTCTTTTTCCCTCTTCCCAAAATTTTGTATGCATCTGTGATTTATGCAAATACATGTAATGTTTCCTGCCAAAGATATTTTCTCCATTTAATGGTACTTGTGACATTTGACAAGGAGCTCATTATGTAGTTATTTATCCTCTTATTACTTTCTCTCTTTTGTGTCCAAATATTCTCCTCAGCACCTCATTGTTAAACACCCTTAGTCTGTTCTTCCCTTACTGCAGCATTCAGGAACTCTTTCAGTCAGTGTACCCCAGTCTCGGTAGTCAGAGTGCTTTGGATGGCCAGAGGTTCTCCCCCCTGTCAATACTCAATACATCAGCGATAGTTGCACAACTCCCAGTGTCGTGAGACAGTAAAATATTGTCATCCGTCCAGTGGAACTTTGAACCAAGAATGACTTTACTGGTGATGACCAGCAGCAATTTACCAGCCAGTGGAGTCAGTCTTGAACTGCATTGTTAGCAACCATTACCTAGAGGCCGTATCATAACTCAGGCAGTTAGTCACGGGATTCCCACTGCAGCAGCCCAGGTATGACCCCGGGTCAGGTAATGTGGTGGACAAAGTGGTACTGTGGCCGGTTTTCTCCAAGTACTTTGGTTTCCCTTGCCAGTTTTCATTCCACCAAATGTTCCACAATCACCATCATCTATCAAGCGGCCTCTGTAGTCTAGGGGTAACGTTCCCACCTCATGACTCAAGGTATGTGGGTTCAAACCTGGCGGAGGTCGTGGAATTTTTAAGGGCGGAAAAATTCAGGGAACAAGTCCTCCGGGAGGGACTTTAAGCCGTGGGTCCCGTGTCGTAGCTTTATGGCACGTAAAAGAACCTCATGCCTCAAGGAGGCCTCTGAGCCAAATTATTAAGGACATTTCCCGCCCAACAATAGTCTCTAACGCCTCTGGTAGATGGGGGAAGCATCTAGATACCGCTGAGCCAGTAGAGGCCAGACTCGCTGGCTGAGTCGGGACTGATGGCATGCACCAGTATTGGTAGGGTATAGAGACTGGTAGAATATCACAGGCGGACGTACAGTAGACCACTGGTCGCGGTGCATGGGGAAACCCACCCCCTCCAATAATAATAATAATAATAATCATCTATCATCTGGGGCTGGTACAATAGGCCAGTAGTGGCCACAGTACCGGATGGACTCAGTCTCACCACTAAGAATAATAATAATAACTGCTACCTAGCAACAACTACTGACAACAGAATAAGAAACAGAAGATTTTGTGTGCTGTGGTTGTAGTTATTTATGGAGTGTCTGAATCAGTGGGACTATTGTTATCATTTGTAGTTACAGATTGCTTGTATAAGCATCCAGTAAATCCAAGTATCAATCCAAACCCCATGCTTAGTCACCAACACTTGGCATTATATTGAACATATAGCAACTTCTGCATTTATTTATTCATTGCACAAAATAAATTGTCAAGACTTTCTTAGACACTCTAGGTCAAAGGTAGAGCTGTCCTTACGATTAATTAATTAATTAATTAATTAAGCATCATGCCATGAAGATGTATGGAGGAGAGGAGTTGTAGCCCCACCAGTCTCCCCATCCATCTTCACCTCGACAGTAGATGGAGGTGAATGGCCAGCTTTATCCCTGTACCTGTGCCCATTGCATAGGAGACTGTGTTGACCCCTAAGCCTTCCTGGGTACTGTGGAATAGAGAGAAATCTCTTGCCCCTGTCAGGAATTGAACCCCAGCCTGTAGCCCAGCACTCTACCAACTGAACCATCCTAGCTCTTTTCATCTACCCCTTGATGGTAAGTATCTCAGGTTTTGAACTGCTCCAATAATGTGACAGATAGTGAACCTTACTGATCTACTTAATAGAGTATTGCATTCTGAGGTGTGACACCATGACAGCGTTTTGGAGAAACCTGCTGCCTCCATGTTCAGGATAGAATTTATAGTGATGATCTATCAGACTGCATAATGTTACATCCCAGAAGATCATAATTTTCATAGTCAGTGCAATGAGATCCTCAAATCTCACACATAAAATGGTAATTTGTCATTTTTATGATCACAGTGGCACCAAAGTTATCCATGCATCGTGAAGACTCCAATGTTATTGAGTCCCTTGAAGGCCTGCCAATCATAATTAAGTGTCCTGTGGTTGGTAATCCTGTTCCTGACATCCACTGGATGAAAGATAGTGTGCCACTAGATGCGCAAGAGGCAGTTAGAACTGAAGCTGATGGTCACATGTTGTACATCAAGGACAGTCGGCCAGAACACTCTGGAAATTACACGTGCGTGGCCCAGAATCATGCCGGCAACATCAGCAAGAGTTTCCAGCTAGATGTCCTGGGTAACAGTGCACTGTATTAGTTGGTTCATCTTTCATTACATTGTTCATATAAGAGGAAGCGTGAGCCCTCACCCACTCATGGAGCTGAGCCCTTCTTGAGAAGCCACCAATTCGGCAGCTACTCAAGATCTTCCAAGCATTTTATGGAACCCAAAGGTCCAGTACTGTGTTCACAAGAGCCCTCCACTGGTCCCTATCCTGAGCCAGATCAATCCAATCCATACCATCTTATCTCCATGCAATTCATTTTAATATTGTCTACCCACTTATGTCTTAGCCTTACTAATTGCCTCTTTCCTCCTGGCTTTCCCACAAATAACCTATATGCATTCCTCTTCTCCATTCGTGCTGCATGTCCTGCCCATCTCATTTTTCTTGACTTCCTCATTCTAATTATACTTTTAGAAGAGTACAAGTTATGAAGCTTCTCATCATGCAGTTTTCTACAACCTCCCATCACTTCAACTCTCTTTGATCCAAATATTCTCCTGAGCATCCTGTTCTCAAACACCCTTAGTCTGTGTTTCTCCCTCAATGTCAGAGACCAAGTTTTGCACCCAAACAGAACCACAGACAAAATAATAGTTTTGTATATTCTAATTTTTATGCTTTTGGACAGCAGATGAGAAGACAGAAGATTCTGGACTGAATGGTAACAGCATTACCTGAGTTCAATCTCCTCTTAATTTCCTCCTGACTGAGGTTTTAATTTGTTACAGCCGTTCCAAAATATCTGTTAGCTATCTTTATATCATAATTTTGCCTTGCATTCTGGTGATGAGACAGCAACACATACTTAGTTTTCTCTGTGTTTACTTCTAGACCAACCTCCTTACTTGCATCAATCAAAGTTTACTGTGAGCCCTATGTGTGTAATGTTAATTTCATGAAATTCAAGTGCACATTCTAAGCAGTCACTAGCTCTACAGTCGCCAAATTTTTCACACATGTAGTTAAGGTTTCGCTTTACATACCGACATTTCTGTTTTATAATTTTTCTAAATATTTATTAAAAATAGGAAAAAGTAAGATAATGGAGAGAACATGTATTCAATTCAATTCTTTATTTACTTACATGCTTATTCAGCAGCCAAAAAGCCAATTACAGTGTGTTCGGTTAAGGAGGAAACTTCACAACACCACTGACCCAGCCTAACATTCCTCACAGGTTGCTGCTCTAACTGCCGATAGTGGAATGAGTCATTAGCTCTGATAAATGAACACACTCTCACTAGCATAGAGCAGATGGAATATTTCTCCGTGACTATTCCCTCACATCAGTTTCTGTACATCCACACTTTATAAGAATACTGTAAAAAGATAACAAACTTACCGTGCTTTATAACAGGTGCTGAAAGTGAGCCCTTTCTGCTTGCAAACATGCCTTGCATCGAATAAATAAATTATGTGACACTTTCTGAAGTTGGTCCATGGTAATTGAACTAATTACATATGCTATTTCATTCATAAATGAGCAATAAGAAATGTTTTAAGGAATGTCTTGTTGAAGAAATGGTGTCCTGTGAGTTAGAATAAAATTACAGGTCTCTTGAAACCCTTAGAGCTTATTTTAGAAGACCTAAGGATGAATGAATAGGGGATAGGCCAAACTATTTCTTGCACTGCAACCATCTGTGATCTGATGTGTGTCTCCCGGTTATTCCCTAATGGTCCCATGCATTGAATGAAATCAAGTAAATTACTGAATGGAGCATCGTATTAGTCATCTAGTTCTGTAAAATAACATCCTGGGTGACGAAACATGAAATTAACTATGATTTACAGTTCTGTGAGGCATGTTAAGCTATTTCATCTTTGAAGAAAGCAGTCTTCTGGAATTTGGCACCGTGTATATGTGGTGTTAACCGACATTTCGTTACCGGTTCTAACGGTCTCTTCGCTTGCAGATTTCTTATATTTTTTCTTCTACCCTGAAGATGGAGGCGATACGTTCCTCCGAAACGTCGGTTAACACCACATATACACGGTGCCAAATCCCAGAAGACTGCTTTCTTCATAGTCACCACCGTGAAAGCCTCAAATCTTACATATTTCATCTTTGTTCAGGCATCTTTCACAAATGAAATAAACAGCCCATGATAAGTAACATAATGTCAGGTATTAGGGGGTGACTGTAGACAAGGTATGGATTGGTTCTTCGTTTTATTGACCTCACAACACACGGCTCATAATTACACTTCACAAATCACTATATGACACACAGGGTCTTCTCGGCCTGTTACAGTCTCCACTAGCTGTTTCCTGGCAACTGCCAACCCTCAACTGACTGGGTCCCATGTTGGCGGACCATTACACACCAACCTCCTGCTCTTCTTTTCACTTCACTAAATTGAACTCCACTCAGCCGGCCTGGGGTCCTCCCTGTTTCCATCGTAACTATGTTGTGTGTATCTCCTTTCCATGGGAACGTGTTTACTGAGCCATTATCAAGTGACACATGTTCCTTCTTAAGATTGTTGTGTAGCAATGGTACTACACATTATTACAATAATACAGATGACTAATATCTTTTGGAATTTGATGCCATGCAGTCTGGTAGAAGTGTATTGACATTTCAGAGGAATATCCTGCCTCCATATTCAGTGCCGAAGAGTAAGCCCAGCATCTAGAGGCAAGTAGAGTCTGCTTGGTGTGCCCTTCAGACATGAAGATGGAACCAGTACATTTCTTTGACATTATAGTAAACATGTACCTGCCTCATGGCATAGGCACAAAAGTGATAAGATTAACACTCTTACAGCATAGATTTGTGAGTGGCTGTTTCCTTTTATTGCAGTACCTCCTGTGATGGCAGACATGGAAGAACAGACAAACTTGAAAGTCACAGTAAATGAAACATTGACTCTGAACTGTAATGTTACTGGCCACCCACACCCTAATATCTTATGGTTCAAGGGATCTGCACCAGTAACTAAACAAAAATGGTCTCCAGTCAAGTTTAAAGACCATAACAGAACTCTCGTAAGTATTACAACTTACAAATAATAAAGAAACATAAAATTTGATAACACATGCTAATTGCTAAGAGTATTTTGTAGCATTATACAATTCATATGTGCATCTTTTAAACAGAATATATTATTCTTTTCATGTGTGTCCTGAGTTGTCAAGTGATATCGGTGTCTTTCAAAACAGAAATTTAGCTACCACTGCTTCTATCATTGTTTCTATTTTATGTATGTTGTGGCATATTTACTGAAAGCCAGAATAGTTTAACCAGAAGAAATGTTCATTACTAGGTTATGGCACAATAAAGAGTGATGCAAGAATTAAACACTAAATACCACATCAGCATAGCAACAGTTATGCACACAATGGGAGAACTATTGGAAGCAGTGATTTATGTGTGGTCCACTCCAGCAACTTAATGGCTATGCATTGCAACTGCAAGAAAATGTGCTTTATGTTGGGTCTGTCCTGAAGCTATAAGACAAGGACCAACGGGATGGGTGGACCAGTGGTCAAGGCGGGTTCGAATACCTCCACCGTAGCCCTGCAAGTCATAGGAGGTGACAAGAATGGAACCCATTACCTGGGGGTATAACTTGGCCAACCTATTCCTGGGGGACGTAAATATGAAGCCCTGGCTCTCCACTTTGTGGGAGTATCAAGACTAAGACACTAAAATGTGGTCATGAATTCCGCAGAACTCAGACCCAAGAATGACTGCAGTGGCAAGAGCCAGCAGCAGTTGTAAACAACAGACATGTCCTCTCGTCAGAGCGGGCATCCCACGTCTAACAGTAATAAAAATCTGGTCTTAGGCCCCAGGTGGGTGCTTGACACCAAGAGAGACTGGCTGACTGACCATGGGTCATAACATAACTTTAAAGTGTCCAGTGCAGAGAGACTTTGCAGGCAGACAAACCAGTTCAAGTCTGAAGCTGCTGTGAAACAGTCATCCCTCATGGAGACATGGGAGGTGGAAGAGCCCCCATTGTTGTAAGTCATTGCATAGGAACTCCAAGTTAGTTGTGAGAGAGTCGCTGGCCAATAAAGATGTGAACATGGAAACTGGGGAACCTACAATGTTGGAAGCCGTTACCAGACAAGCATTGTGAAGTCACAGCAGACTGAGAAGACTTAATGTGCTATAGTGAATTGCCAAATGTGTGAATTAGCAATAGAGCTAGAGTTACTTGTAGTTACAATCTGTAAGTGTTCAGTAAATCTCATTACCAGTCCAAACTAGGTGTATAGTCATGGTCATTTGACAATATCAATGACTGAAAAGCCCCTAACCTCTTCTCTTGTGATAAATTAATAAAATTATTATAAAAGATAGAACAATTCCATCCAGTGTGACTGGTGAAGTTTTTCTTATTTCAATTCTTCAATAAAATTACATTTCATTTTTCTTTGGCTGTAAGCAAAAAGCATCGACCTCTGTTGTGCTATGTTGTTTGTTTGAGACCTTCTGACATTTAAGTAAATGTTGCTGTTATTCCTTATCCACTGTGATCAGAGAAGCTACTGAAGTAATCAAAAGAACATTAACTGAAAAGGCAGGTACAGATTGAGTAAAATCTTGAGTCGCCTCTATTTTCCCTGTTCATTCCAACATTCAGGGCCCAAGCAATTTACTGGCATCCAGAACAGTGCTAACCAGTCACCAAGCATTCTCCCTTTCCTTCTTGAGATCTGCTTTCCTTGTCTGTGATATACACCCTAAAGATCAAGACAGTATTCACTAAAACAGAAGGATTTCAACAAATGCCATGGCTTAAACCTGAAAGTTGATAGTGTTTTATGGGGCCATCTACACAATAGTTATATCAGCAAACAAATCAATACTTATGTACCATCATTCATTTATTTGGTAAAGTCATCACTAAATTTTTGACCCTCACAAGGTCATCATCGGACAAATTTACAGAAATGAGATCTTAGTGATTGAATTATTTTTTCTTAATATGGATCTATATTACAATATTTTACCGCTTGTTTTTGTGAATACACTCTTTTGTTAAATATGATCACCAGATGCACAGTTTCTTTAAATTTAAGCTAAAAATTAATGAATTAAAATTATTTATAATATTTGGATTCATGTAACTTTAATCATAAAATTAAGTATCTGGATTATATTTTGATTTTAAATTAGCTTTACATTCATCAGGTTTTTGTTGTGGTTACTGGTAGGTCATAGGTCAAAAGTTGATCATATGCATTGCTTCTTTGAGAGCTGGAGGAGGACTGATAGTATAATTTCCAGTGTTGATATTTAGTTGATGTTATAAAGCTTCAGTGATAGTGTTCTTTTGTGGGTTGCTTAATGATGCTGTTAGTATCTAGATTATATAGCATAGAATGCTAGAATGATTGATGACTGATGANGAACGTCGGTTAACACCACATATACACGGTGCCAAATCCCAGAAGACTGCTTTCTTCATGTAAATGGATACCTCCAAACACAAGTTTGGTGCTTTTCATCTGTACCAGTGAGTTCAGTGAAGATTTTGTTACTTATTAGTGTGCATTTTTTNAATTGAAATACTAGCATGTCATTTTCCCAGAGGGGCTAAGAAAAACCACAAAATACTTAAATCAGAATAATTAGTGTCTTGGTTAAGATTCAAATGGATACCTCCAAACACAAGCCTAGAGCTTTGCTCCTGGTAAAGATGTAAATGGATCCATGAAACTCTCCGTTCACTTCAGTTTACTAGATCTTAGACATACGGTAGGACTCCTTGGACTGGTGATCAGCTCATCGCAAGGCCTCTTCCTGTACACAAACACAGAAAAACGCACACAAACGTCCATGCCCTGAGTGGGATTCGAACCCATGATCCTGGCTTCCAAGTGAGCGAAAAGAGTGCATGCCTTAGACTGCTCAGCTACCATGACCGGCTATTAGCACACATTATGATGTGTAATATTTGTAGAGTTTTGAGCATGAAATGCCCAAATAGGTTACTGAAGGACTTACAGGTATGATGGTTTCATATGTAAAAAATGTTGAATGAGATTTTATGAATTTGTATGCAAACTTTTGCTTCAAGGGGTCTTAATGCTGCTTGTCACTTATTACAGGTAATCCACAGGGTGTCATCAAGGCATAATGGAAAATATTCCTGTCTTGCCAGCAACATGGCTGGAGATACAGAACTCACATTTAATGTTGAAATTCAAGGTTAGTTCTTTTAGTTTTAAGTTACTATGCAGGATTTAAGGTTCTCACAGCAATGGTTTTGAAGCGTATTTATCGTCTCTGCTTGCCACCTGATTTCATGCTGGTATCTTTGTTCGTCTTATTGTTCGACCCTGAAGATGGAGGCGTTATGTTCCTCCGAAATGTCAGTTGACTTTCAACAGACTGCACGGTGTTATATCCCAGTAGATAGTACTCTTGAGTAAGTTACTAATTTTCATGATGTAAAATGTCCACAACAGTTTTTTTAGCCCTGTGCCCTACACCTCTTACTGTGTAAAACATCTTGGAAGCACGTGGCAGGCATCTCATGGGAGAGAGACTGTGGTAATCCGTAGCTTGTTCAGCCAGTACTCCTACATGGATTACTAAAGGAACTGTGAGATTTCACTATGGGCTGTGGAATGGATTTGGATATGCACACAGCATCCTGGCAGCTACTAGTCCTCTGCAAGAAGCCCCTTCTGTGAGGGATGTAATTCTTCTGCAATGAAGATGGAGGAATCAGATTCCTCCAAAATGGCAACTACATTTACCAGTCTGTGTCATGTCACATTTCCATGTTTGAAGACATATATACAGAGATGACTGAAAGCCACTTCTGTAATCATGTAAAAGTATGAAGTGTATACAAAAATTCAGTCACATTTTTGCTCTTTGTTTCTATTGTTTTGTTATGAACTGATGACAGTGTTAATAAAGTATGACTCGGGGCAAAAGTATATGTTTTATCTTAATGGAAAATTTAATTTGTAAAAGAGAGAAAAGTTAACATGTTGTGAGGGGTTCTGTCTTCCGGGATATAATGCTGTTTAGCCCATTGAAAGTCAGCCAATATTTTGGAAGAACATGTCGCTTCCATCTTCATGGTTGAAGAGGAAGCCAAGCAGGAAAACAAGCATAAAGCAGGTAGCAAGCAGAACATTTTGGTTAACTTTCAATTGAGCACATGATGTGATATCCAAAGAAGATAGAATTCTTCACAGGGACCACTGTGAGAACCTCATATCATATGTTAACTTGTTTTTGAGATTCTCACAACTGACGCTGTGAAGAGTACTATCTTCTGGAATGCAATTCCATGTAATCCAATAGAATTTCTGCGACACTGTGGAGTAACACACTGCCTACATATTCAGAATTGAAGATTTGCTAAGCAAACAAGGAACAATGATCCAGAGGCTGGAGATGGTACATTCCTCTGAAATGGTCATGAAGTTCTGCTCACTTCCATAGCATCACATCCCATGAGTTAAGTTGTTCAAGTTCCCTTTAGTTTGGGCAATCTATTGTGGCATATTTGCTCAATGCAAGAACTGTGGAGCCACAGAAACAGCTGTTGCTAGATAACGACTGTGTAACATGCAAGAATGGAGTAACAGTTGGAAGCAGTGTTTTCTGTGTGGTCCTTGGTCCATCTACCATTACAAGAGAGTCTTGAGACGGCAGTTAGAAGAGTATGAGGTTGGTGTGAGATGGCCACCAGCCTGCAAGGACATGAGCCCAGAAGCAGAGGACTGTCTTTATGTGATAGTTATCTGTAAAGCATAGTCACAAGTTGTTTATCTACGAGTCTAATAAATCTGATTATCAATCCAAACCCTGTCTGTAGTCACCATTCACTATACAGTATGCAATATTCATTGTCGAAATGAACCAATTTTTTAATATTTCAGAGCCTCCACAAATGTCTGCTGGTGTACCAGAGAAATCTAATCACACTGTTCTGATACACAGACGGCTGGTTCTGAAATGCCCATTGTACGGATCTCCACCACCAGAAATTACATGGTATAAAGTAAGCCTCCACTCTCATCCTTAAAAGTTGTATGTTTTTTAATTTGTCTAATGCAAATGTAGATGAATTATGCAAATATAAGCAATGTAACTGATTGCATATATTTATACCAACAGGAAGGAATTCCTGTTCAGAAACAACTTGGGAATGACTTCCACATTTCATCAGATGGAAAGCAGCTGCACCTGATGCATGCATTGACCAAGAATTCTGGAAACTATTCATGTGTTGCAGAAAATCCAGCAGGAGCCAAGGAACTGCAATTTGAAGTTAATGTTTTAGGCAAGTTGTTGTTATCAGTAATATGTTATGGCATTTCTCTCTTTTCCTTATGCAAATTGATGGTAGTGTTAATGACTGTATGTCGAAGAGAGAGAAGTCAATAGCTGGTTGGTTTCTAGTGCATCCAGGCTTAGTCTGCTTGACCCTTCTGACATCTACACCGGGTTGATTTTATTACCCCAACATTTGTCAGTACCTTTGTTGGTCATTTAATAATGTAGGGTAACAGAGAAGTTATTTGTCCAAAAGAGTATCCTGTTTCTATAATTTGTAAACATAAGATATGTTCAAGGTTACAACCTTCTAGGACATGATGCTATGCAGTGTGGTGGATGTATTTTTGTATGTTCTGTAGGAACCTTCTACCTTGATCTTGGGGGTGAAAGCTGTTGAGAAACTTCCTCTAGCATTCACTGTTTACTCAGATCCACTTTTTCCACCACCTCTTTGCTTTTGCAACGTGACCCTTCCGTGCACTTCAGATACTTTCACCGTTTTTCTAATTCCAAATTATTCACTCTAGATTCCTACCCCAGCCATCCATCTTCTTACATCTGTATCACTTTCTACATGCTTGGCTTACTCTTGTACCCTGACGATGGAGTCAGCATATTCCCCCGAAACGATACCATACTACACTGCATCACATCTCAGAAGACATCACTGTGAGAGCTTCAAATCTCGATATATATATATATATATCGTAAACACAAACCTGTATGTAGCTGAGGAAACTTTCACTCCGAGGGTACAGTATGTTGTGTGAAGCCATTCACCCTCCCTGTGCTGTCTGTGAAGCTGAGAAGCTAAATTAAAATCAGCGAGAGGAAAAAAATGGACAATGCTATCCCCGTAACAGGCCATGGAGGCTCCTACATTTCATAGACAGTCAGTTCACAGGTGGCAATGAGGTTGTCAGTCTTACACGCTGGCCACTCTTTACCCCCCAGGAAGATTCCTGGTACTCATTTCTGTTAGAGACTGAGTCTACCCCAGGGCCCTAGTGCAGTTGGAAGGATTAGGTCAATTGAAAAATCCCATGACCTCATAGGGAATCAAACCAGCAACCATCCATCTCGTAGCATGTTCATGTTTACCAAGGATGGCCGTGCCATAGCTCAGTCACCAGCTTTCCACTACAACGGCCCAGGTTTGAGCCCAGGTCACGTGATGTGGGATTTATGGTGGGCAAAGTGGTACTGCGGCAGGTTTTTTCCAAGTACTCTGGTTTCCTCTGCCAGTCCTCATACCATTGCCCCACATTCATCATCATCTGTCATCCAGGGCTGGCACAATAGGCCAGTTATTGGTTGACGTACCAAGTGGGCTCAGTCTCACCCCACCCCAAGAANAAAAAAAAAAAAAAAGACGAAACTAGTTCTAGGATGGTGTTCCTTAATCAATTTAAGCCTGTATTTGTTTCTATCATTTCTATCCTACAGTTTCTGTCAAGCTAATTAATTTTATCTTTCAGATCTTCCTTTTCTTCTTCCCTGTAATTTCTGCCACTTTCTCAGCTGACATAATGTTTATTATCTTCAGTTATTTGTCTTCAATTCTACGGCAGTTGCAGTTTATCTCATTTTCTTTCATCTAATAATTTTGATCATTCTTTGCCAAACTATGGTTTATTATCCTTTAGCTCATCACCTTGACTTCCTTTGGCCAAATATCTGATATTGTCTCTAATACTTTCCCACATCCTGTTGATGTCCACATTATCATCCCAGTTTTCCAGACATGCTACTGTTCTACAGTTTCCACAATGTTTAATGTCTCAAGATTAAAGATTCATATCAAAACTTTTGTGTTGCTCATTTACTTACTGACAGTCTCTCCCTAATATTTGCAACCACCAGATAGTGAGCAGTGTCACAGTCAACTCCTCTGCAAGATCGGACATCAGGTATACTTGAATGCAATTTCCTTTCAATCAAGCCATGAGCACTCTCATTGCACTCCCTGCAGGAGAAGTTAAAGAAAATTTATGAATTTTGCAATGTGGAAACACTGTACTCCCACCAGCAGTTAGATGCATGTTGCAGAGTTCATTATCCCTAATATTATATCATTATCCCTAATCTTATGTAAACTCTTATTCCCAATTGTTTGTTTGAAAAATATCTTCTCACTCTACTTTTGGATTGAAATTGATCATACTGTTTATGTGGTATACAGAAAGTTGATTGATTACACTTGCTTTGTTAATCATAAAGTATGTAAACAGTTCTATTTTGTTGAATATAAAGCTGTGTATTCTGTTAAAAGTCAAATAGTTAACTTACAATGCACTACACAGCTTTATGCCCCAGAAGATATAGCTCCCATTATGAGAACCTCAAATCCTACTTAAATTCTCTATTTTGAATCATCAGTTTTGTCCTCATTCAGGGCATGCCCATTTGGAGTAGTATCATACCAGCAACTTCTCAGTATTGTATACAGCGTTCTGCAACTATCACAGCATTTGAGATGAAAATTAAAATGCAACTGAAAAGGAATATTTGATGTTGCATTCTAAGACCAAGAAGTACATTAATCAGAAAAGGTTTTGGAGCTTGCTTTACAGAAGTGTAAGGGCTGCACGTGGCCTCACCTTCTGATGCTGGTGCCTGGGATGATCTTGTCTTGTCCCCGAATGTTCCAGTTGTTAACATTTTGTCCTTTATGTACAATTTGAAGCTTTCATGGCAAATAAATGGGCTAAGAACTTCTCGGGGCAATTGTCCATGTCAGTGTTGAGTTAGAAGCTGACATTTCAGAGATCTCCTCCATCTGCATCATGCGGGATCACTTATACCTTTCCTGAAAATGTTTTAGCACATGTTTTGCCCTTTCTCTATTCCCAGCCTGGACCATCTTACCTCCTACAGCTCAATATCTAGTGCTGAAACATACTTTGCAGTTCCAGCTGAATGGAGTACATGGTCAAGCTGGAGTGACTGTAGTGTTACGTGTGGTCTGGGAGAACGAATTCGTGTAAGAGTATGTGGTGAAGATGCAGAAGAATTTGTTGATGAAAGCAATTGCCAAGGAAATCCAGAGCAAATACAGAGTTGCCACATGTCTGAGTGTCCAGTAAGTAAGAAGACAATTAGTTTAAGCCTCTGAACCTCATAATCCTTATTTTCACCTTCAACAATTCAGTACGAAGACAAGCAAAACAACTGTAATAATCTTAACAATTTTCAGTTCAAGTTTTGCTGTCTGCATCAGTTTTATTGAGTTTTTAGTTTGGCCGGNGGGGGGGGGGGTTGATGATCGAGAAGAAGAAACTGCTGCAATGCTGTGTATGTGCACCACTTTGTTCTGTGGCCTGTAAGAAAACATGGTTCATTGATATCTGTAGAGAGAATATGGAACTCAGGGTCAATCATTGAACTCAGATAATGCTTGCTACCGTTCAGTCCAGAACCTTTTGTCTTCTCGTCTGCTGTCTAAAAACATAAAAATTATAATATGCAAAACTATAATTTTGCCTGTGGTTCTGTATGGGTGTGAAACTTAGTCTCTGACATTAAGGAAGGAACATAGACTGAGGGTGTTTGAGAACAGGGTGTTGAGGAGAATATTTGGACTGCAGAGAGATGAAGTGACAGGAGGTTGGAGAAAACTGCATAATGAGGAGCTTCAAAACTTATACTCTTCTCCAAGTATAACTAGAATGATCAAGTTGAGGAGGATGAGGTGGACAGGGCACGTAGCACAAATGGGGAGAAGAGGAATGCATGTAGGATATTGATGGGAGACCCAGAAGGAAAGAAACCACTGGGAAGACTAAGGTGTAGATGGGTGGACAATATTAAAATGGATCTTAGAGAGATAGGATGGGATGGTATGGATTGGATTGATCTGGCTCAGGATAGGGACCAGTGGAGGGCTCTTGTGATCACGGTAATGAACCTTCAGGTTCCATAAAATGCTAGGAAATTCTTGAGTAGCTGCAGATTTGGCTTCTCCTCAAGAAGGGCTCAGCTCCATAAGTACTTTTTTTTATTTCTAGTGGGGTGGGACTAAGTCCCTTGTACTGTGGCCACTTCTGGCCTATTGTACCAGCCCCAGATGATAGGTGAGGGTGATTGTGGAGCAATTGGTGGAATAAAGATTGGCAGGGGAAACCGAAGTATTCGGAGAAAACCTGCCACTTTGTCCACCATAAATCCCACTTGACCAGACCCGGGATGAAACCTGGGCCGCCGCAGTGGGAAGGCAGCGACTAACCGCTTGAGCTATGGCACGGCCCTTCTCCATAAGTAAGTAAGTGAGTTCATTATATCATTAAGTATGTAATAGTCCTCTGGGGCAATTCGACTAATAATTCTAGAATTTTTAAATTACAAAAGAAAGTAATAAGGATCATATTGGGAGTGGGCCCCTGAGACTCATGTAGAAGTCTTTTTAAGAAATTAGATATTTTACCATTGTCATGTGAATATATTTTTTCTTTAATGTTGTTTGTGATAGATAATCAAAATAGTTTCTGTTCAGTTTCAGAGGTTCACGGCCTGAACACTAGAAGAAAAAATCAAATTTATATTCCAGCATCAAATATTTCTGTTTTCCAGAAGGGCAGTATGTTTACTGGTATTAGGTTATTGAATAGGTTGCCAAAGACCATTCAAAGTCTTAGAAAGGATAGAATCAGTTTTAAAAATAATGTATTTTCATATGTCATAAATAACTCATTTTTACAGTTGATGAATTTTTGGAGCTTACGGTAGAGAATTAGTTACAGTGTCTGTTTAGCTTTGTATTGTCTTTCTATTTTGGACTTGTGAAATGTGAAATATATCTAAGATCTTGTCATCTTTCACCAAAATATTAGAGGTCTTAATAGAAGCAAGCTAGACAAACTATTAATCTCCTCACTCCCAATTTCTTCAAATATTATATGCCTAACTGAGCACAATCTATGTGATAATGCCATAGATACTATTGTCTTGGCAAAGTATAATCTTGGAGCTAAATTTTATAGAAACACATTTAAGAAAGGAGTGTTTCGTTAATGATGACGCCATTTTGGATTGTTAATTGGTTTATTTAACAACCTACCAGTCTCGGCTGCAATTAGTTATAACACAGTTGTGGGGTTTCACACTTTATAAATTTGAAAACTTTAAAAATGACATAAATATTGTATTTGAAGCCTTAAACAGATGGTTCGAAGCCAATTTACTCTCATTAAATTTTGATAAAACCCATTACATATCATTCACAACTAAAAACAACCACCAAATTGATCTGGACATCAGTTATGCCAACAAATTAATCTGTAAAGTACTTGATACAAAATTCCTTGGAATACATGTAGACAGTACACTGTCTTGGAAAATACATATTGAACAAATTATACCTAAATTAAATGCAGCTTGCTATGCGATGAGATCAATTAAGCCTTTTATGTCACAGGAAACATTGAAGATGGTTTACCATGCCTACTTTCATTCTATTATGAACTATGGATTAATATTTTGGGGGAACTCTTCACATAGTGTAATAATTTTTAAAATACAAAAGAATATAATTAGAATCATTACAGGATGTAGAAGTAGAGATTCATGTAGAGAATTATTTAAGAAATTAAAAATTCTACCTCTTCAATCACAATACATATTATCGCTTCTCTTATTTGTTGTTTACAACAAAGATAAATTCAAATTAAATTCTGATGTCTATAACATGAATACTAGACAAAAATATAACTTCCACCTACCCTCATCAACTTTATCAGTATATCAAAAAGGAGTCTACTTTACTGGCATAAAAGTGTTCAACAATCTGCCACAAAGTATTAAAAACTTGGGCAATGATACTAAAAAGTTTAAATCAGAGTTAAAGAATTATCTACATGCTCATTCCTTCTACTCTTTAGATGAATACTTCAATGTAAATAGAGAATGATGTAAAATTAAGTTATATTAATTTTTAAGCTAAAATTACCTGTACTTATGTATGTAACCTTTTGACTTGTTCTGTATCCAAAGGTACTAACCTGCTTAGGATTTATAGAATGTAAATAAATTCAATTCAGTTCAATAACCCTATTCGCAATATTCAATTCACTCTATTGTCGGTAGTCTACACATTTCACAGTACAGGAGCTATACAAGTGTCACTGTGTTACACACTCCCAATTAATTCTCAGTTATCACAAACTGTCACTGATTATCACACTTTTACTCGTTCACTGCTGACTGTCTTCGGCCGCTGATACACTTTAACTCTCTCCAGAGACGGCTACAAGTTAACTGACTGCGGCAGCTGTGTATTTCCCTTATATAGTCGCAGCGCTTGCCTGTTACGTAATCGCACCGCTGTTACCTCACGCCGTGTTACGTCACCGCGCGTTGCGTGCCTCATCACAGTAGGAAGCAGTGCCACATAGCCCAGGGGGGCTATGTCACTGTGGCCAGAGCTGTTACATCACTGCCGGCGGGGGTAGGGGTCCTCCATTGCGCAACATGTCACAATATATTCTAATCCATGAACCCATTCAATACATGAATATAAATTTAGAAAAAAATTTGTAAAGAAAAGGACCTAGAGGCTTGTGAAGTTAAATTACACCTATTGTATTATGAAATATGTATTATTGATCTCCATCTGGAAATTTACATTATTTCCTATATAAGATGGATGAAATTTTAAACATGCTTTGCCACAACACCACTGAAATAATAATATGCGGAGATATTAATATTAACTATCTTAATGACTCCACATACAAACAATCTTTAGATGTGATATTAGCCTCCTATGGTCTATCCAGTATTGTGCAATTTCCTACCAGAATTCAGGAAATTTCTTACTCTGCAATCGATAATATTTTTAAGATTATTAATGTTTCAATATACCCTATTATAAATGGGCTTTCAGATTATGATGCCCAAGGTTTAACAATACATAATATATTTACTCAAAAATACAATACTTGTTACTATTATAATCAGAAAATTTATGAATAAATTATGGACTTTAAGATTAAACATTTTTTTTATTGCTAGTGGGGTTGGACTAAGTCCCTTGCACTGCGGCCACTTCTGACCTATTGTACCAGCCCCAGATGATAGGTGAGGGTGATTGTGGAGCAACTGGTGAAATGAAGATTGGCAGGGGAAACGGAAGTACTCTGAGAAAATCTGCCCCAGCACCACTTTGTCCACCACAAACCCCACTTGACCAGACCCGGGATCGAACCCGGGCCGACGCAGTGGGAAGCCAGTGACTAACCGCTTGAGCTATGGCGCGGCCATTAATATTAAACTAAGTTATGAAATATGGGAGGATATATTTTTTTGATAAAAATGTAAACACTGCCTTTAATAATTGTTTAATATATATTTAAGAATATTTTACTCTAGTTTTCCTCTCAAAAAAAGTGTATTTTAAATCTGATAATAAGGCTTTGTTAACGCCAGACCTAAAGATTTCATGTACAAATAAAAGAAGTTATCTTTTTAGCTCAAAGAAGCAGTAATGACCCAATTTTGAACAGCTATTATAAGAGTTATTGTAAAAATTTATCAAGTGTCATTAAATCAGCAAAACAAAGGTATTACAGTAGTATTTTAATTCATTAAAAAAATACAGCAAAAACTACATGGAATATTATAAAAAATAACTCTAACATAAAACCAAATGTCCATGATATTGTTCACTTCAATAAAAGTGAATGGTAAATTATCTTGAGATGGTCAAATTATCACTGATGCATTTAATAAATACTTTGGTTCGACTGTTCAAAGTAACTACAAGACTCGTGCTATACACAATTGTGCAAATTCTAAAACTTACTTATTCAAGGCATTTACCCGACCTTTTCCTTCTATAAATTTAAAATGGGTGTCACCTAAAGAAATAGAAGATATAACAAGGTCACTAAAAATAAAGAACTCATACGGATACGACGGGATATCAACAAAAATGTTAAGAAGTATTATTCCCCATATTTCTTTTCCCTTAACTTATTATATATGTAATAGAGTGTTGATTATTGGCAGCTTTCCAACAAGATTAAAATTTTCGGAAATAAGACCTATATTTAAAATAGGAGACAAAAATTACACATCTAATTATAGACTTATTTCGCTCCTCACATCACTGTCTAAGATTTTTGTAAAAGTACTCTGTAACAGATTATATCAACATATTAAGGATAATCATATTCTTGTTAATGAACAGTTTGGTTTTAGGCAAGCATCATCGACAGATTGTGCACCTTATCACTTAATTAATAATATCTTAACACCATTAAATAGTAAATTATTAGTTAGGGGTATTTTCTGCGATCTTCATAAGGCATTTGATAGTGTTAATTAGGATATTTTGTAATTCAAAATGGAATTCTATGGGATTACAGGAACAGCTTATAACTTAATAAAATCCTATCTACAAGACAGATATCAGAGAATGTTAGTTAATGTTAACTCAAGTAAATACTACCCTAGATGGGAACCTGTTACTGTTGGAGTCCCTCAGGGGTCCATACTTGGTCCCTTGCTGTTTCTCTTATATGTTAATGATATGCCTAATGTAATATCCGACGTCTCAAACCCTGTCTTATATGCTGATGACACTAGTCTGATAAGTACAAACCCTTATATCCAAATGTTTTAAAGAGATATAAAGACTGCCATACAAAGATTAAATTGATGGTTTCATAGCAATTTATTGTCACTAAATCTGGAAAAAACATATTTCCTTCAATTTTTAACTAAAAACACTAATGCAACTGACTTAAATATATCATATTGAAACAGACAAATAACTAGTGTACATACTATCAAATTCTTAGGTTTAATAATTGATAAAAATTTATCATGGCATACTCATATTGAACAATTGATACCTAAACTAAATAAAGTATCCTACATAATTAGATTTTTGAAACCGTTATTGTCTTTGGAGACCTTGAATGAATGAATGTATGTATAAAGGTGTGGGCCTTCTTGGCCCTTACACTGCGACCTATAGTGGTCTATTGTGCTTCCCCTTTTGATTATCTCCTCAGCAATCCTGCACTTCGAATGAAGCACAGTATTTTGTATGTGAGGGTGTCGAAATAGTCACTTGGTTCCACAAAGTATTGACCCAAGTGACATAATCTTAAATAAGCTAAGGCCTCACATTCACACAGGATATGTGTGGCTGTTTCATTTTCTTCTTGACACCTCTCACAAGTGGGACTATCACTTAATTTCAGTTTGAAGAGGTGACCTTTAAGGTGACAGTGTCCTGTAAGTAGTCCCACCAGCCATCGTAGCTGGTTCCTGTTTAACTTCAACAGTTCTTCGCTCTTTTAGTAGAGGGTCCTTGTATGAGTCCCTTTGCTTGTTTGGAGACCTTAAAAGTGGTTTACTTCTCATTAGTCCACTCAGTTATCTCGTACGATATAATATTTTGGGGTAGCTCAACTCAATCTAAATTATATTTAAAATCCAAAAAAGGATAATAAGAAACATTACAAATTCCAGCAGCAGGGATTCTTGTCAAAATTTATTTAAGGAACTGTCAATTTTACCATTCTACTCTCAGTATATATTCTCTTTATTAATGTTTGTTGTTAATAATAAAGATTAATTAAAAAGAACTTAAATGTTCATACTTTTAATACAAGATCTAATTGTGATTTGCATTTTCCAGTGGTAAATTTGACTGTATGCCAGAAAGGAGTATGGTGCTGTGGTATTAAATTTTACAATCACCTTCCATCAACTCCTAAACAAATATCATATGATATTCCTAAATTTAAAGTGGCATTAAAGAATTTCCTGACCACCAACTCCTTCTACACTGTGGAGGAATACTGTTGTTATAAATAAGAATTTTGAAGTTTGACTATATATAAAGTATTGAAATCGCTGATTTTATGACTGTAAATTTTGATTATTTTGATTGTAAGATGTCAACTTTATGTTTTTAAATGTACTATTTTGTGTATAAATATTGTGGCTATCTTGCATGTTTTTGTAATTTGTCCGATCATGTACGTATAAGAATATTTATTGTGTTGACTGGTTTCAATCGTTTTTGAAACTATGCATGTATGGGGCTTGTTCCACATCCAGTGGTGTTTTAGCCCCTCTGGATCTATGGAATTGGAAATAAGTATGAAAAATATTAATATGAATGAATTTGTACTGTTTTGCATAGCAAGACTCCCATACAAGAAATAAAACAAATGACATGTACTATGTATTGGGTTTCTGTACGATATATTCTGATGCAGCTGGCAGATTTAAGTAATCAGAAAACATAGCACATAATAGGGAGTTTACTGTACTCTTACATAAGATGTATGAGAAAGGCCATTAAGTGTAAGTGAAAGTAGTACACCTAAAAGAAAACAGGCAAGAATTTATGTAAAACTTGTGCTTATATCTGAACTGTGAACTGAAACAATATATATATACAAACGCATCTGCACTTACAAAGAAGAGCATCAATGAAAGAACAGAGTTCGTATTATGGAACTTCAGAGTACGGGCACATTTTCAAGGCTGCAGAAGATAAAAATGAGTTGTTTTAATGTTGCATTTCCTGAGTAAGGTAAAGTGTATGTGGCAGTGCCAAACAAATATGTACCAGTGAGCATCACACATTCAGCTTAACTGCTTACAGATTCCTGATTGTTCACACAACTGTTGCAATCTATGGTCCATTTTTAAATTCTGTTACTATTTACATATCATGTCTGCATCTGTGTTATAGAAAACTGATATATTGACTTCCTCTTCAGATCAATGGCATGTGGAGTGAGTGGTCAGACTGGACATCTTGTTCAGAATCTTGTGGTCGTGGTACCAGGCGACGCTATCGCAAGTGCAACAACCCTGCACCGATTTATGGTGGAAAACCCTGCCTAGGAGCTGATGGACAACAGGAGTATTGTAACCAACCTCCATGTCCTGTTCATGGAAAATGGTAAACTGATAATTTATGCAATCCACAAGACCATGCTCTTCATGGTCACTGCCATAATACTCTCTAAGACCAAGATGTTGTCACGTGATTGATTATAGATGTGGTTTGGATTGGTAATCGGATCTATTGAACACTTAACAGAGCATAACTACAAATAACTGTAAGAGTCTCACTGAGTTACACACTCCAAAAATCACTGTAACTACAGCAAACATAAAGTTTTCTTGGCTTTCATTAGTCATTTTGAACTACTAGTACTCATTATGTAGCTCCAACACAGACTGCACAGAAAGCATCTCTTCCATTATTATATGTTCTCTAGTTGCTGGAGAAACAGCATGTCCACAGAGCTATTACCTAGCAACAGCTGTTGTACTATCACCTGTTTACACAACTCTTACTTGTCAATGGGTCCACATGTCACAGTATTTACACGTACAATCATGATAGATATTAACCTTTATTGGGAATATTTTCTTTCATATTTCAAGCAACCATATTTCTTTTGCAATTCTCATTATTTAGTTGAACATAACCTGCAGTGTGCTAAGCTTAAATGGACTCCAGGATTGCCTTTTCATTTCTTGCGGCAATGATCACCAAAATATTGTGACATGACTAATTCAACATGTTGCAGTTGTGGGTTTGAGGTGAGTATGTCTAATGGGACATGTTGTGGTTACAGCTTTCGAGTGAGTATATCTAATGGGACATGTGGCAGTGGTGGTTTTGAGGTGAGTATGGTTAATGGGACATGTTACGGTTTTTAGGCGAGTGTGTCTAATGGAATATTTTGCAGTGATGGCTTTGAGGTGAGTATATCTAATGGGACATGTGGCAGTGGTGGCTTTCAGGTGAGTATGCCTAATAAGGAACATGCAGGAACAGGTCTGGTCAATAACAGTATGAGGGACTGGGGTTGTTTGAAGGAGATAGGGTTGTGAATTAGAAGCTGATGGTGACAGGGGGGAGGAAGGGGCTTCATTAGAAATTTTTAAATCTTCAAAACATAAAATTACACTAAATCATGTTCAGGAATATGATTCCTATCTTGCAGAAAATATACTGCATAACCACCATGAAGACTGTTCACTTAGTGTTGTTTTTTGGATACAATTGCTATTTATTTTCAGGATAATATTAATTCTACAAATACACTCATTGGAGAAATCAAACAGCTCTTTAACCGTTCAGCGTGGTTTGACGTGTATGTTTCGTCAGGTATTTAAATCGTCTGCGGGGGTTCGACGTCTATGTTTCGTCCAGCTGCACACCTATGTTATAACGCCCATAATAATTGATGGTTTTGCTGTAGATTGTTAGATTTTTCGCTGGCCTGTTGTCAGGAGAACAATGAGAACAACGACATGAGTTTAGCTGCGCTAATTCATCGTTACATATGCCTGTCTTGCAGCAAATTTCCTGTTGCTCTTGGGAGAGGTTTAGTCGCTCAATCTGTTATGAATGGCGTGTTTTCTTTCCTATGAAGTTATAAACAGCAGAGACGTGATATGTGCTGTGTTTATAATATCATATTGCCCTGAGCTGGCCACACTAACACACTCAATTGGAATTCTTAGAAGAGGGATGT